TGCCCCAGTACAAATATAGCTTCTATGCCAACATGGAGCTCTAAATAAATGTGTGTGCACAGGTGTGTAAGCATGAGAAAGACAGAGAGAGAAAAGAGAATGCAGCCCTTCTGCAGAGTCCTTTTCCATTCAGGACTCCTATCTCTCAGGTCTGAGGAGCAGTTTCAGTAGCTTCACAGGGTGGGAAAGGGACTATTGCAAACTACCCCAGACTAGCTTACAGTCTACTCTGAGTACAAATAATGACCACAACTGTAATAGGGAAGAACAAATCTGACTCCATATTAGACCTGTTCCTTTGGCTTTAACCCTGTGCTGTTTCCTGTGCTTAGTCATGCTGGTTCTGCCCCTTTTGTAAAAGAATGTTACCTATAGCCTGAAGCAAACAAAGCAGCCTATTCTCAAGGCTCTGGCCTTTAAGGGTATTGACACTTTTCCATTCATATAAAGATTAAAAGTTGCAGAATAGAAAATAACATTTGTTTTGTTGGAGGTTTACAGGGACACTATGAGTTGACTCGAGTAGACACCTGCAAAAACAAAGGATTCTGACACCAAGAAGTTTGTAAAAACCGACCACACCCCCTCCCCTTTTTAGTAGAAAAGGAGCCTGAGTTATGACTTGGGGAAGATGGTTCTCTAGGACATTATGCTGCCATCTTCTTTGTCTGCCAGCTTTCTGAATAAAGTCATTATTCCTTGCCCCCAACACCTTGTCTCCTGATTTGTTGGCCTGTCGTGTGGCAAGCAAAATGAATTTGGACTTGGGAACACAACCATTTACTAAAATCCTACTGTGTAATACCAAGCACTTTATATCCATTATTTCATTTAATTCCAAAATATATCAGCAAGATAGATATTCAAGTCTCTATTGCACAGATGAGGAAATTTGCCCTCCAGAAGGTATACAACTACTGAGGGGTCCAGGATGGATTCAAACACAGTTGTATCTAAACACCTGTCCTGGTTGATTCACAACCTATCTAGTTGGGCAGCCTCAAGGTTGGAGGTTCAGGGCTGTGAGATTCCCAGGTCCCCAGCCTGACACCTCAGTCTTTCCAGCACTCCACAGCTACTATCCAGCTTCTTGAGTACACTGTCATGCACTAATTCAATAACCTTCATTGATTTTGGTGAAACATATAACCTCTTTGAAGATTGGAGCTTGGATCTGGAGTGACGAGGAAGCAGTCTGCACGGTCTAGCCCTCAGGGCCTGCTGTTAGCCTTGCTGGCTCTCAGCAGGCTCTTAAATTGGACCACAGGATCCATGGGGCTTAGAAGGAGAGTGATACCTCCATGCACAAGCCCAGGGCCACTCCCTGTAGCTACACAGGCAGGGAGTCTCACTCTTTTGAGGAAAATTAGTCAGGTCTTGTCAAGTTGCTATCATCTGTTTGCTAGAAGATCCTGCATTGAAAGCTGGTTTCTGAGCAGTCCAGGGTTTAGAAATGACTCTGCCCTTTGGGGACATTCACGGATCGCAGAGAATTCAGGTTTTCCTTAAATGTGCTTCTGCCTTCTACTATTATGTCAGCAGAAAGTCAGCTCATGGAAGCAAGATCTTGTTTAAGGTATCTGCAGCATCCTAGCAGAATACCTAGGACATAGTAGGAGCTCAATGAGCATTAGTTGAATGAATGACACACTATTGGATGAAAAGACACTCAGCTGTGAGCTCTTGGAGGGTAGTCTAGATTTAAGGTCCCCCTCTCCTTTCAGGAATTTAGACTGACACTGATTAGGGGTCTGGATTCAAGGGTTTGAGAGGCCCTGCTGAGGGGCAGGCCGGAGTGTATGGACTTCTCCTCACTATCTTGCTTCAGTTTCCTTTCATCTAGATAAGGTACATAGGCCTCTACTTCTCCTAGCTGTGAGCTTCCAGGTTGGCCCTTTTATTGCCCTGATTTGCATACAAGTTCTCTGGGAACTTAAACTTTGTTCTTGGTTTCTCAGATAGCCCAACTGAGAGAAAGCAGGAAGTGCCAGCAAATAAAACATTGAGGTAGCCCAAGACAGATTCTGAGACTTGGAAACAGGGCATTTCCTCATCCCTCTGACCTGACCACATTCCTCTCAGATTCTAGAAACTTCTGCCAAATGCTGAAATGCTCAGTGAAGCAAGGATGAGAACTTGTCCCTCCCACCTAGTAGCCCAGACAGAGGTATGCCCTCCTCCTTCCTAGGAGGCCACTCTTACTTTCCAACTCTTCATCTGAGCCTCTTCCCCTTGCATCCCATGAGGGTGCCTATGTGCACACATCTCAGTCTGCATTCCACAGCTTCTACTTTAGCCCCTCTGGACTGTGAACCTTGAAGCCAGAGGACAAGGCTGATCCATTTTTATGTCCTGTTTTTTGCTCCTAGAAAAAGAACTAGATGCATTGGTCTGAATGTTGTGTTCCCCTCCATCCCAAATTAATGTGTTGAAATCCTAATGCCTAAAATGATGGTGTTAATACATGGGGCCTCTCGGAGTGGTTTAAGTCACGAGTGTAGAACTATCATGAATGGGATTAGTGCCTTATAAAAGAGGCTTCCTAGAGACCCCTTGCCCCTTCTGCCACGTGAGGACACAGTAAGTCTGTGACCTAGAAGAGGGCCTTTACCTTACCATGCTGGCACCCTGACCTTGGACTTCCAGCCTCCAGAACTGTTAGCAATAAAGTTCTGCTGCTTATAAAACAACCTGATCTGTGGTATCTGAAGCAGCCTGAACAGACTAAAATACTAGAGCTTAGTAAATGCTCAGTAAATGTTAGCTAAAAACGTGATTCCCTCCCTTATTCCCTCCTCTTTCATATCTCCAGTTCCTTCCTTTAGACCCTTCCCCTTAGCACATGTTCATGTTCAGCTTTCCCACAGAGTGAAAAATTCTCCCTCCATCTGCTTTTCTGTCAAGCCACTAACCTATCACTTTCCTTTCCCTTACTATATTCTTGAGAAGTCTGCCCTCTGATTCTCCACATCTTCATCTCCTGTTCACTCATAAATCCAGGCCATGTGGCTCAGAATTAAACATTCCACTGAGCCAGGTCTTCAAAAAGTCACCAATTAGATGACTTTCATCTAATCTAAAAGCTTCTTCATCAACCAAATCTAAACGCTTCTGCCGTGGAGATTAGAGAGCATGAGCAAATAGAGAGCAAATAGCTGATGCTCAATAAAATGACAGTTGTTCTTACTTGCTTTAGTTTCCCTAACATTGCTCACTTCTGGTACCTCTTTTTAATCATTTTCCCCAACTTTCTCTCTCCACTCATTATAAAGGTAATATAGTTTTATCGGTTATATAGGACTGAGAGGCTGTGTGAAATCACTGTATGGTGTCTAGAAGCCATTTATTGGGGAAAGGAGAACAAACTGTCTGTTTGCTCTTTCCTTCTATCTATTTCCCTATACCATAGGAGATATTAACTCCCCTGTACTTCTGGGTTGTTTCCTGGCTCCTCAGGGCAGTCTGGGGAGACTGATCCCAACGACCACAGCGAATGCTTCAGCATACTCTGGAAGTGGCATTATGTGGCCAGGTTCTCTGAGGGTCTGGTTAAGTCGGAACTGAGTGTCACAGCTGCCACGGCTCCTGCTACAACAGGTACAATAGAGAAGTTACGGAAATCTGTTCCCACACACTATGGGAAGCTGAGAGGGATGACTGCATCAGGAGACGGGTCCACAGTAGAGACTAGCTCTCTACTGAGTGGAGACCCTGGGAGCAGGTGGGTCCAAATGAGTCTGGAGAGGTACCAACACTGGATGCAATACCATAGCTCATTTTAAAAAATTTGATAAATACAGAAGAAAAACAAAATAACCTATACATCCACAAATCAAATGCAGCTATTGCAATTATTTTGGTGTGTTTCCATTCAATCTCTTTCCTTATAAATATAAGTTTTTCTTCTTTTTTTAATTTGAAAAGTTTTTCTAACTTTTATTTGGAGTATAGCATAATATGGAAAAGTGTACACTTTTAAGTGATACATTGTCACAAACTTAGCATCTCTTTGTAAATTAAATCAAGAAATAGGTCATTACTGTCATTGCAAGCTTCCCCTTGCCTACTTTCAGTCACATCTCCAAGGGTAAACACTATACTGACTTCTGAAAATGTAGATAAGTTTGTACTATTTTGTACTTTACAAAAATAGACGTATACAGTGTATACTCTTTCATGTCTGCTTTATTTCACTCAACATTATGTTTGGGAAATTTATTCATGTTGTTGAGTGTTGGAGTAGTTAATTCCTTTTCACTCCTGTATCATGTTGCAGTCCTAGAATTTCTACTTAGCTCTTTTCAGAAACTGACTCTTTCGTGCTGTTGCATTCTTATCTTCAACTCAGTTTGGGTTTATGGGAGGCTCAGGATAGTTTCCGATGGCCTTAGGAAAGGAATGTCCCTCATTCATTTGAGAGAGCTCCCAGAAGTTAGTTCTTTGGAGAATGTGGTAGCTGATATGAAGCCTAGAAGTGTCATTTTGTCACCATGAAAAGGTCAACCTCAAGATGAAGCTGTGAGATTGGAAAGCAGAGAGAAAAAAAAAAATGAAAAGAAACTAAGATCCTAATGACACTGTTGAGCTGCTAAATCAAACCAAACTTGAAGCCTGCCTATGTGAGTCCATAAATTTCCTTCTTGTTGAAGCCAGCTTAAATTAGATTTTCTGTTAACATCGAGTCTTAACTTATCTACAGGTCAGCACAGGAGGCTTTGGGAATACAGAAGAGGAGCACCTAAGTCAGTCTGAGCCAGTCAAGGAAGGCTTCTTAGGAGAGATGTTTTAAGAGTAGGGGATATTTGAAGGAAAGTAAGTTCTAGGTAGGGATGGCATATGCAAAGACCCAAAGGTGAGAAAAAACATGATGTGTGTAGGAAACCACTCACTATGCTCACATGTACTCAAGCTGGAAAACTAGGCATCATTCCGGGTTGGTTTGTTTGTTTTCACCTCCCACATCTAGTGGATCACTCAGTGCTGCAAATTCTGCTCTTAAATTTTTTTTTGATGGTTTATAATTATTTATTAGAATTCAAAGTTGTTTGCTCTTCTGTCCCAGGAGCATCCATTCAGCTGCCTCTCTCAGCTGGTAAGTTGCATTTGACTGCTGCTGTGAAATGTCCCTTTAATCTTAGGGTAACAGGTCTGCCTCTGCTTAAAACTCTTTCCATGTCTTGTAGCAACCCATCTCTTCACACCTTTATACAAAAGCTCCCCGAAATCTGCACCCCAAGCAAGCCATCCACAGATAAAATCATACCCGGTAGCAAAAAAGTTCCAGACATGTCAAAAACTCAAGTCCACCCCTTCAACTTCCAGCTAATTCTGCTTAGCGCCTGTTTGCCCGTGAATACAGCGCAAAGCCTCTGCTGTAGGACCCCAGTAGCAGGTCTCATCCATTTGGCACGTAACTGCTCATCAGAAGCCATCAAAAGCCAAACTGCATTCATGCCTATCATCATTCTAGGGAAAAATTAGCAACTTTTAAAATTCACTTTGTTCTAAACTAAGTTTAAGCACTATGTCGTCCTCGCATCCTGTATGCAAATGATTTACACCACCCTTAATCTCCTGAGAGCATTGCACAAAATTAAAGGACCAGTTATACAAATGATGCAGTGCGGAATGCAGCAATTTAGAGAAGCACGTGGACTTCCCCAGTTGGCGCCTTTCCTTAGAGCACTTGGCTGAAGGAAAATGGGGCCGAAGCCATTAACAAAGACCCAGTCAGTGACTCGGCATGCACCGCCATCAGAGCCGTTGGCATTCATCAACAGTCTCAGATGTCCCTACCAACACAGGCTTCATCAGAGGCAAATATTTCTAAAATGTGTCTCTATTCCATGATGAGGGTGGAGCTGCTGTCCTAGGACGGACCCGTATCACCTCTCACCTAGACGACTGCCTCCTCAAAAGTGTCCCTGCTTCAGCTTTGCACTTTTACCAGTCACTCCCTTCGCTATTACCAGAATGACTTTTCTAAAATCCATATCTGATCATGGTATAATCTTACTTAGAATGTCTCCCTGTTTTCCTCAGGATAAACTCTAAGCTTTCCAGCTTAGCACACTCTTAGACATCATCTCTTACACTTTCCCCAAAGGGACTCTGATCTAGAGTTTTATACCAAACCACTTGCCATTCCATTTTAACAACCTCTTTTCTTGGATGGAGGGGAGTGGGAAGGGACAGACTGGGAGTTTGAAATTTGTAGATACTGACAGGTATATATAGAATACATAAGCAAGATTATACTGTATAGCACAGGGAAATATATACAAGATCTTGTGGTAGCTCACGGTGAAAAAGAATGCTACAACGATTATATGTATGTTCATGTATAAGTGAAAA